CTGGGGTGCAGAACCCTAGGTACTGAGAAAATCCTGCAGAGAACAGTTCCCAGCAGAAGCAAGTACCTTTTCCAGCAAGCACAGTACTGACAGCAGCTACTTTAGGGTACCTGGCAGTTAAAACGTGGCCATCCACACTGTGTGGGTATGACGAGCTTGTTTGAAGCTAATAAATCACGGTCAGGACTGGGCACTGCTGTTTGGCAGCAGGCAATTGCACATGTTGCTGGCTGGTGCCAGCCCTGCTCCGGTCTCCCCCATGCCACCAGTGTCCTCAAACCACTTCAGCGTGACATGTATGAGCAGGCTGGGCTTTATCAGCACTCGCTGGTGCATGTGATGACAAAAATCATAATCTTGTTTTGGCTCCCACAGATACCAATGAGTGATTTAGATTTCTGTCTTGTCATACCTGAGTACAGTGAATTTTTTCTGTCACGGGGCAGACTTTCTTTTGAACTCAAGTCATACCTTGGACCCTACTTGAATGAACAAGTTCCTGCTTTTGTCTGTGATTTCAACCAAGTGTTTTGAATATTTCAGTCAAAATATTAAATCCATACAGCTAGCTGTGCCTTCCAAATTTATTGTGTTGAATTACTGTTTTTTATCCACTCCTACATGTATGGCAATAATCATCTTTATTTTCCGTAGGAGAATGTGTAATGGTTGACCCTTTTGTGGCATCTCCAACTGGATTTCAGGAAGGCAAACACTATATTGCTCCTTCTACTCCCAGTAGTGTGCCAAGGAATGGTATCAGGCTGGCTCTCAGCACTTCCCATGTATGCCACTGAGAGGGCATAATGTAAGAAAAACCCTGTTTTCTTTGGTTACTTGTCTTGCGGTAACAGCATTCGGAGTGCTTAGCTGGAATGAATCGATTCTGGAGGAAGTTCACACAGATGAATATTCAGAGAATCTACAGATTAGTTTTATGGGTCAGGTATTAGATAAAGCACTTCAAAAGCCTTTGCATGCAACTGTTGCATGAATTTAGAGTGAAAATCCATATCTGGGTCTCTTTAAAAGCTATGCTGGCCATAAGCAAAAATGTGGACACTAAGTGAATCATTGTTAGAAAAAAATGGCTTTTGTGTTACGTTCTCAGAAGATTAAAAATAGAGCTCTGCCTGGATGTTTTTAAGTGCCCACCTTTGATACTCCCTTACCGGCCCTAAAAATATTTGCATAAATGATGGTGACACAAAACCAATTGTGTATCTGCTCATCTATACTAGCTAAGTAATGGCATAATTTGGGAAAACTTCTTGCCTTATCTTTGCTGACCATAAGCCAGACTTGTGAAAACATTTAAGTGCTTATGTGCTCACTAACCATGTCACTCACTCACAAATATTGCAAGTGTTTTTCTTGTATTTACAGTAAAATCAAAGTTGTTCAACTTCCATTATATAATACTCTAAGATGGGAACTATTTTACCCAGGCAATCATTTAATAATAGTTAAGAACATGCGTTCTAAATGGCACGTTATTTTTCTGGATGCACTGCGCTCCACATTCTTAAACATTTTGCTGAATAGGGAGTTCTGGCCTGTGGAGAATCAAACCCTTTAATTCTATTTATGTTTTTTTTAACTTTTATTGTAGGAAGAAGTGTGCACAGCAGACAGCCGCATACAAAGGCCATGCTTGGTACTGGACAGTGAGGTCTGTTGCTGGCACTGCGCCTGGCGATGGCAGTGCCTCCAGAACAGCTTTGTGTACTTCACCGCTTTTTACACCAGTATTACAAAGCGGTATAGGCCAGTTGCCCAAGAAACACTTGGGATGGTTATTACCTACCTCAACCTCAAAAACCACTCTGGACCTCTTGTAAAATAACTATGAGGGAAAGTCTTGACAAGAGCTGTGCTCTTTTGGCATAAAATGCTCCTTAGTTCTATAAGCCTGGCTCTAGCAGTGTCAGCCACAGCGCGTATTTTTAAATCTTGAATACTAGCTGTTTGTACACACTTCTCATTTTAAGAGCTGAAGCTCAAAGTACACTTGTCTTGCTCTTCCCCCTTCCCCAAATCCTTCCACCCACCCCGTCTCATTTTAGGCAGCTACTGAAGGAGGAACCATTTATATACAATTTCCAGAGCTGACTTGGGTTTCACATGTAAGAACATTTCAGGATACTTCCATTAATTTGTTATTCTTTTCACCTGGCAATTTATGGCTAGTTGCTGGGAACACTCAGAACACACATTACCTATAGAGATGCACCTATGCTACGCAGAACTGGGAATCTGAATTGCATGATTCGGCCTTGCTCCTTGCTGTTTTTATTGTACTAGTTTAATCATCACTTAAAACATAATTTATTTGGAAAAGCTTGAATGTCAATAGAGATAACTTTTCAGTATCATTCTTCTATCTTAGAAAAGACACTTCCAGTCACCAAAAATACAATTTCTAGTATCATTATATGACTTGAACTGTTTGATTTGGTATCACTGTATGACTTTTAAGTTTGATTTTGAAGTTATTTTAGTGTAACAGGATGAGAACAATATTTTACTTTTCAATGCATAAAAACCCTTTTCACTCTAGTGCTTTTAAGTGTCTGAAACTTTTATATTTTTAGACTATATAGGCAATAAGAATAAATGGCACTTCTGATTTTTTGTGGGTGTTGCAACAAAACCTCTATTGATACCTGCCATGATTCTTTATCTTTACATAACCATTTCATAAAATTCAATACTAAGCTTTAGCAGAAATCTGCTTTTCTTAAACTAAACCTAACCACTGGGCTCCTTAAAGATGGGCAGGGGTCTAGAAGCAACACCATGCATTGAGGGATGTTACTGTTTGTGTGTTTCTGAAGTCATTAATGTTCAGTTGAACCTCACACTTTTGGTCAGACTTCTTTTCTCCCCTCTGTGTATTCAATATTTTATGCAGATTTATGGTTAATCCAGAAGATGAACCACCTGCATGCATTCCTCTACCTACTACCGAGTGCAGCACAGCCTGGTTAGCAAACAAGACAGCAAGAACAGCTGTTTGGCACAAGAACGATGTGCATTCCTAACGGACATCAAGTATTAGATCAAGTAGTCAGAATTTCATTTTATATTTGGATTCTTAAGCAGGCATTTGCTGACTACTCTCTCGACATGTGGACAGTTAAGGAGTCACTTTTTCACACTTGCTTTCACAGGCTGGATATAAAAACCCATAGAAGAGCCAATGATGAGACTATATTATGAGTTAGGATAAAATTCTAGCGTAGATACCCATGGCTGCAGCTGTTCTCACCAATGATGAGACTATGAGTTAGGATAAAATTCTAGTGTAGATACCCATGGCTGCAGCTGTTCTCTGTGAGCTCTGGTATCTGCTGCATAGTGTAAACTATATAAATGAAAGCTTACTTTAGTAAGAAACTTACTGTGGGAATTCCTTTTTATCAGCTATAGTCCCAGATCCCAAAGCAAGGTAGCACAGGTGACAAGTCCCCAGTTTAGTTCATATGCTGCAGATTTTTGGCACAAAATGCTAGCAATACTGTTCTGGGGCATGGTATTTAGAAGCACTTTTTTCTTATGGAAAACTTCAAGATGTCTCCAATTTCAAACTATCAGGAAAATTTTAGAGCACGACTTCTTCCAGAGAGGGATACAGAACAGAAATAATTCTCATGGGATACTGATCAGAGCTGAAGCTGTGTTCTATTTTTGGAATTCTCTTGGAACATTTCCAAGACCACCACGAAACAATTACTTCAATATGGGTGGTAAGTATGTCTCTGCTGTTAGTGCAAACTCTTCTGCACTGGTTGATGTCTGTTCTTTAACCACTGCTTCTCTGCTTGGAAGGCTTCATTCTGTGTTGTCACCTCATCCTTGGACCTCCAACTACACACATGGAAAAATCCTTGCTTTGAGCAGATGCCATTTGCTTGTGGACCCTACAGATGGTCAAGGTAAGAAATAATCTGATTATTACATGGATGATTAAACCCTAACAAGCTTCCTTTCTAGTTCAAGCCTTATCATTTCAAGTTGCTTCCAGTTACAAGATGGCAAACACCTGCACAAAACACAGGTAAGAGCATCAGTAATGATCAGATGGAGGTCAACTACAACTAGCACCCTTAGTAAAAGAACTAAACTATTGAAGAGTGTTACTGTTGTCCTTTATGAAGACATGATCAAGGCCACTTGTGGTATCATGTAATAGGGTCTATATTTGATGTGGTGCAACAGATGCAGTAGCTCTCCACACTGAAAGTATATGGAAGTATTAATCTCACTAGATTCAAAATTTTAGGTGCTTTTGTCTAAGCAGCACTTAAGACTCTGAAAAGGAGTCTGGCTCTGAGCCATGTTTATATGTATACAGCTTCAGTCAATCTACTGAAGTTGAATCTACTGCATGCAGCTAACGTTACAGTAACAGAAGAGCAATAATCTGCCTATCAATGCCTTGCACATTACATCAAACTTAATGTATAACTTTAAAAAGTTAACATTAATAGCTATGTAAAACTATTTATTTTAACTTGGTATCCAAATTCTATTTATACATGTCTCAAACAGGCTTTGCAAAAGTGGCATGTGACAATAGGATCATCACAGCTACGGTGACTGGCACTGATTATTTCTTTTACAAGCATAATCCTTCAACATATAAAATGCTAGGTATATTAAAGCTTATAAGGAGTTTCATATGCTAAAGATCAAAATATTGATGTCTGTTTCTTTTCCCAAATGTTAATGTTTAATCAGCAGATCATGCATTTATGCAGAAACCAACCTATAGTAAGACTGGACAGCTCATCCTTTCAAAAATATTTATGTAACAGCTAAAACTTAAGTTCATAAACTAGCTCTGGGGTAAGAGAGCTCCTGACACTCAGCAGTGACCTTGTACACAGGATTTCCCCTCTGCCACCCATGAAGTCTTGTATGTAGCAAAATTCTATCACTAGTTTTTATTATTATTATTATTATTCCTTTATAACATATTCTCGATTATTTTCAATAATGTGGGTATTTTCTTGTGAAATTCAGATCTATTTTGGAGAAAACAAAGTCCATTCACCATAATAGTTGCATAAAACACTACAGTTTATTAAGTCAGTGACTGAGTCAAATGTACAACTAAATTTATGAAACAGGTTCAAGAAAAGCATACTCAATGTTTTCATATTAGGGAAGGATTGTGTCTTATTGTCAAAGTGTTGGCTAGCTTAAACATAAGATTTCAATGCTGTAACAGGCTAAGCCATTAAAATAAGTCTCCATATCCCATTGTATAAGGTATCATGATGAAGCCCTAGAACAACTAATTATGGACTACTTAACCTACAAGCCCATGGGAGATGGTACTAAGCAGTCACTCATTTAATCAATGACTGAGAGCTGCTTTTTGCTAGGAGTGCCTATATGTTAAGAAACTACCAGCTTACAGACGAATTGTCAAGCTGATCCTTTTGGGAAAAATAGAACTAGTTTTTCTGTTTGAAATGCAAAGCCAAAAGCAGTATGTGTTTTAGTTACCTGTCTGTAGGTACATTGTATTCACGTCTCAACTGAACTTTTAGATATGCATACGCAATTTTAGGGAACGTAACTCCTTTAAGACTAAGACTTACATTCCAAGCATAGCTCTCTCCTGCAGGGTATCATACTAATGTCACCAAAATGGCGACGACACCCTCAAATGCAGCACTTCACCATGCTGAACTTCAGCTAGTATTACTAAACTCAAGTTTAGCACCAAGTCTTCTTGTATACCAGTTTCAATAAGCTTCAATATGCTTAGAAATAGTTTGTCATTTCTCTTCATGTCAAAGCTGCTGAAGTTAAGATAGAGTCAATGGTCCTGTTGTTATAATAAAGCCCTAAGAAAGGCAGCAGGTTGTATAGTTACCTCCTTGTGAGCAAAATCCCTGCCCTAAAACTATGCAACCTACTACCTCTTCCTAGGAGCCCAATGTTTCCTTTTTGCAGTTCTTCTTACTGAGCAGCTGCTCTCTGCAGTCAGTTTAGCTTACCAGCTGCTTTCCATCTTCTGCATGCTAGGCCTGGGTACATTCTGCAACTTTATGCTGTTGTCACTATTTGTATGTGGTTAAGCAGTTCAACATTCCTGGCCTGAATGGCTCCATTTTTATTCTTACTATGCTCAATTTCCAGTCATGAAAAGCCCTTTCATGCTCAGCTTTGTCACTACAGCAAGGAGCTATCTGTGCATCTACTCTAGAAGTAGTTAGACTGAATACACTCTAGGGCTTAAGAGGAAAAAAGTACACAGTAAGATTCAATTGTATTTTTATAAACACACTAACCACCTCAGAAAAACTGGAGTTCGCAGTCTTGGGTACTCAAGTTGTATAGCTTTACACGTGCACTCCAGAAGCATTTTGCTTTAAAAGGTGGATTTGGCTGTTCAAGTCAACATTTTAATGCTGTATTACACTGCTTAATTCTCATGTGCTGGAACAACTAGGGGAAAAAAAAAAAGGTGGGGCAGACACTAAGAAAGCACAATTGAAAAGTTTTCCTTAAACTGTTTTGAAACCTCAGGTTCTTTAAGGTATTACAACACCACAACCCCAACTGGTTAGTAAAAGTTGAAGACATAATGCACAATCTCAAGCCACCTGTGTATTTACATTCAAAATCAATTTTTTTCTAGAAGACTGCATTCTACTGCAGCAAATCTGCATCTAGTAACATCTCCACTTTAGATATCCAGTCCGCACTGTGCCACTCACCTTGGAAGAAAAGTCATAGCAGTCACATGTATTTGGCGGGGGGAGCTGTCACACCACTGACACTAATAGTTCATTCTGAAAATTGTCACTGATTAATTTGATATTCTATAACTCCAAATTTATCTGACAGATCTATTTTTATTCAATGTAGACATGAATGACTGCAAAGCACCGCAGTGTTTTTTACTCCTCAGGGAAGGCAATAGATTGTATAGTTATCTCCTGAACAGGGTAAAATAACTACCCTACAACTATACAATCTACTACCTCACTCTGACAGAGAAGCATAGATTTAAGCTTCTTTCGTGAAGTACCTAACTACAGTCTCGTTCTGAGCAACACTTACATCTGATATTTCACTTATCAGTAGTAAGCAACACACCCGATTAGAACATCAGTCACTTGTATTTGATTGGCCCACCATACACATATGAAATTTAGACTATTTTTTCTTTAGAGGAGAGAAATTAATGCAGAATGGTAACATGGCTTTTTCAAAAATGTGAAGAATCTAAATGCAATTACAAGAGTTTTCTTCTGAAATACCTTATCTATAAACATTCCAAGTACAGGAGCTCAGTAGAATCTGACTTCAACTTAAACCGAAATGTTTCCGCTGTTGACTTTCTGCTGCTTTAGGAAAGACAGTAGATTGTATAGTTATCTCCCAGTTGTGGGTATGACCCTAAAACTATACAACCTACTACCTCATCCCACAGTGCAGGCATCTTCAGAGATGATGTAGGAAGAGTGTGACTTTAAAAAAGTCAAGGTAAGCTAGCTGTAAGACACCATTTACAGTATAAAATACAAGCAAGAAAAAGAATCAAAGAAAATAAAATCACTTCCCTCAAATATGCATTCATATTTACTTTAAAAGTAAGATTAATTTCAAAATTCTACCAATTGCTTAGGTCTTACCATATTCCATCTTTTGACAGTTAGCAAGTTGTAGCAGTCATAGCAACTATAATCATTAACTTTTCTTTAAAAGTACTATTCCTGTTCCACAAATGTAAACTCATCTGAAAACAGAAGAAAAAGTATTGGAAGCATTATATACAAAGCTGAATTTCTTCCTCTATAATTACAAGTAACAACAAAATCTAAGATCCTAACAGTGTAAACTACTTAAATGGATCATAATGATGCCCTGATGTTTATAATTCCAATCAAATATATATTTGTAATATACCATTTTCAGCTACCATAAATATTTTAATAGTTCAAAGAAAGAGATGTTTTGTATCTTCCTATTAGTCTGAAATTACATCAAGTTCTGAGCACAAGGATTGTTTTATTGCAGACAAAAATTAAGGTTAGGTCCTACTCTCCATTTCATCTGTTATACCTGCTTTGTCAAAAAGCCACTTAAGGCATACATTGCTTTTAGATCAGAAACAAACAGGCTTTTCCAACTGATCTTGAAAATAATCTTAAAAACAGCTTTTGCATAAACATAGTTTAACACAAGTTTAAAAAAACAAAAACAACAACTTTGAAATCTAAATACTTGCCAGACAGACGTGACTAACAGTCCCCTTCTTAACAAAGACATCTTAAATACAGCTGGAGAGGAAAACTGATTATTTTGTCAATTCAATTTATGAGATTGAAAGTGTTTACAAAAATGCAGTTTTTTACATGTTAAATACATGTTTTACTAATACTTCATTCAAATTCTAAATTGAGATTTTCAGCCCAGTCTTCAAATAAAGTCTTGACAGAACAGCTCCTAATGCATGTTAATATTGTTGCCAAAAAACACCATGTATTAACATATTATGCATTAATATAGAAAGGAATGACATTATTCCTTGATAAGCATAAAAAAGTACTTTACAACCCTCAACATTTTACTGTAGAATTCTTTGCACAATATTGATGACAGATTTTGTTGAACCACTCCTCAATCTTGCTTGTTACTTCTATAAATCCCCTTATTTGCTTTTGCATGCCTCTCTGAGCATGTATTTTAGCATGCACAGATAGACACAAGCAGTTGCTGCTAATGCCCAAAACAGAAATAAACTGGAACAGGAGCCCTGGGAGAAAGTCACATCCTTATGAAACACTGCTACACATCTCATCCTTTATATTAGCTTGGGAGATGTCCTGCTGCCAGGCGTATTGCGTTCCCTGTTCGTGCACCCAGACCTCCCCAGGTTTAGAAGCAGAACTGGAGAGTGCTCAGGTAGAGGTCCCATCTCTAACTGGCAGAGGTAGCTCGCAAAGGCCTCTGTCCAGCGAGTCTAGCTGGAGACAGAGCCAGGTTGGTACCTTCAGTTTGTCACTTCATTAACTTCATGGAGTAACTGTCTTACGTTAAAGATCTGTAATTTCAGAAGGAACTTCACGATGAAGCTGCTGACCCTCTGATGTACTGAAGAGAGTGTAAGTGCCTCAGAAACAAATAGCTAGTGTTGCACAACGCAAGAGGGCATGACAAAAAAAAAAGGCATAAAATTCTTAAAGATAATACTTCCAAATTTGCTCTTTTACACAACAGCAGGAAGCCTAGATTTTTAA